GCTAGCTATCAAGGCTGGCCGCAACGGCTGATCGGATTCAGTTCCAATCACCGTGTGTGGTAGTGTCTGGTCATCGGCATCAGCAGCAGTGCCTTCGACGCGTGGCGTTCAACATTGTGCTCCAGTACACAACGAAAGGCTGCCTGCAAGCAGCTCACATTGGCATCCATAGAAGGAGGAAGAAGCCGCACCGCTATTGATCGGAATCAGTAGCTCTTCGTGAGTCGCTATGGTCCATCCATGTCAAGCGCCTCATACTAAAGAGTATAAACAGAGAGAACCCCGCTCAAATTCCTATTCCTACACAAAACACAAGCTCCTGCTGCAGTTAACAAATAAGATTTATTATATAAGACCACGTAGTCCTACGTCACCATTGCGTACAACTCCATAGGACTGTCCCTTGTAGTTTTAGTTTTTACCTTAAAAACAACCTTCTGGACCACTGTGCACTGTCCGGTAGTTGCTAACTGGTCAGAACAACATCAATGCATTTATTAAATTAAGGTCTTTTTTCGTCGATCTTGTTTTCCATACTGAGTACCAATGCTAACGACGCCAGGAAGGCAGCTCCCACACCTGAACCCTACCTATCGACCCATCAACTCATGAACCGGGGGACCAAAAAAATTAAAGATTTTATGCCTCAGAAAATCCCAACGGTGCTAACTGGGATTGAACACAGCCCTTTGGATTGAGAGGCAGTCACGTTTATCACTATACCACAGACAAACAGACATAACAGTCGCAAGATGTTCATCGAACAAGCATTTAACGATCAATTTAAAAGTATCGTAGTTGGTAGTACCACCACCTGTGGCGCGCTTAGTCGATTCCCTTGCGTTTGACGTTTTCATACTACCACCATCTGTTCAGTATACTGCTTACCGCAGTGTAGTCAATAGATGGCGGTAATGTTTTAGTGACGATGTTTTACAGTGAGAAATATTCAATATGTTATGTCTGTTTGTCTGTGACTATTCCACGGCAGTGTAGTCCTTTTTAGAATTTGTCCACTTGCATTCGGCTATATTTGTGATTCTCATTCTTTCGTGGATGGCGACCAACTTTTGAAAATTCCATTTACTTGCCACCCACTAATATTGAAAGCAGATAAGGGAAATGGATGTAATGGCAGTTTAAATGCCCCTAATTTGAGCCAATACATAAATTCAGCAATCGACTTAATTTGCAATAGCAACCAAAAATATTCATTAGAAACGTCCCAAAAACGCGTTCATCTAGATAAAATTGATAAATAGCAGATTTTTAGCGATACGCTCAATCTTAGATCGATAGGTCTACATTAGAGCCATTTCCTCTATAGGGTCAAAATTAGCTTAAACACACTAAAATGTCATTGGAATGCAACAAAAATAAAAGTTACAAAACACAAACCGGTCTGAAATCCGCAAAAAAAATATCCTTGAAGCACTAAACAGCCAACAGATGGCCTAATTAGCTCAAAAATAGTCAAACAACACCAAAAGAACCACCAAAAATGCTCGAACGCCCACCAAACAATAAAATAGCTAAACAAATTTAAAACGAACCTTAACGATGAAATATTTTAAAAGCACCGATGTAGGTTTTTAAATTTAGAACCTAATCTAAGAACTAATATAAATCGTTGAAAAATGGCAAAAAAAAATGCCAAAATAACTTTTTGACGTAGGGCTTGTGAAATATACTGGAGTGCAAATCAAATCAAAATGTGTGACGAAATAGTGTCAGATTTCGAACACTTATAACATGGTCATTTATGAATGGAATTCAATTATAATTGCACCATTTTATTCATATTAAATGTAACATTTGTTCAGTATAAAGATGATATAAAGTTGTTGATCAATAATTGACTATTGAACATTGATCAAAGTTTTCAGCCATAATCAACCAATCACGTTCTCGGCGTGAACACCCAAACGATGCCGTTAACGTCGGCGTATAGGCATCCCTCGAAAAGAAGTTGTGACCTTACAAATAAAAGTAGAAGGGTCTGTCTAGGCACGAACGGCAGCTTGACGTAGGACCACTAGTGGACGGAACAAATGTGAAGAGCATTTAGTTCTTTTAATTGATCGATCATCTATTATCTTAACTCTTTCCGCTTTTGAATTGTAGGCGTACCAAATTTGTAGTATTTCTTTTTTCAAAGAGAAATATGATTAAGAGAATCGATCAAAATTACTTGCACACCCCTGCTTCCAAGTTTGGTTACAAGATTACAACTCTGGAGACCATTTTGTGTGGTCGTTGGGGGCGTTTGGTTCTGACTATGGACAAACAGGCACTTATAAATTCTATTCCAACTATTTACTATAATAAGCTTGTTGGCCAAAGTTGGTGACGATTTAACCTCCGAAACCGTACAGAGTGCGTCTGTGTCGCTTCAAAGCGTAGATGACATTCATGGCCGCTTACGCTTGGCGTGATCAGTGTAGGTGACAGCATCACGGATCTCATTTTCCAGGAACACCTTCAGCACACCTCGTAGATCAAACCAGAGATATGTTTGACACCACCACGGCAAAACAGACGACGAATGGCGATTATCACGAAGAACCTTCCGATGACGCTTGGCGCCTCCTTTACCAAGACCTTTTCCTTCTTTGCCACGACCAGTCATTGTTGCTTGTTGGGTAGAAGAATGGACTACCTAACCTGCCACCACCTTCATACTGCTGGTATTGATGCCTCTGCTGCCTGCTCACCACGCCGTCCGAAGCGAAAATGAGTTAAGGCTAGACAGCAGCGCTGTTTTATATCTTGGTTTATGGTACTCGATTATGACGACTGGGTTTGGAAAGAACGTTTATTTAATGAAAAAAAACAGTGATAAAATTATCACTTTTTATTGTACATTTTACAAAGTTTGTCATTACCATTTTTTCAATAGTTTCTTGTTGAAAATCATCAGTCGGAAGCATTGCTTTTGATGCGTAGAATTATTTCTAATCGATTGGAGATAAAATTATTGAAATTGGTCCAGGGGCAGCTGAGTTATTAATGTTCAAAATCTTTCATAATTTTGTTACATTTTCCATTTTAGGTTTTCACAAAGTGTACCCCCATATAGAAATCACAGACATAGTCCTCCGTCAAAAACTATCATTATAGTATGAGCAATTGCAAGCCTGGCCACGACTCTTTCCAATTCCCGTTCAGCAGATAAAGCATACGAAGTCGAGTATGAGAGGAAATGAGCGCTTCTTATTCGCTTTTAGCGTATCCATATTCCGAAGCATGGAGAGAGTGACATGATGCATTTCACTCACTAATACACACCAGATTTGTCTTTCTTGCATTGTATTGGACCGCAGCTCGGTATATCGCATATTCCGTTCATGCGATCTCCACTAACATCCTGCAATGATGAATCCCTCGTAGTTGTAAGCCAAATTTATTTCGAATTACATATTTTACAGCTTCCTTAACAATCACCGCCTCCTATTCTAAAAACATCAATCACTGAAGATTATTCATCTGTTCACCAGCTCCGTAAATCTTTACAAATAGTCAAGTGTAACTTTTTTTTTCCATTGTTTTCATGAAAAAGAAAAGAGGTCCACCTCAATGTTGCCCTGAAGAGTGAAGTTGACACCAAAATGTTACAGTAAAAATGAAAACAAGTATCTTTTCTTCTTGTTCATCGAATCCTCACCATGTCCACCCCTTGAGACGTTTTTATCGTCATAAATCATCATACCTACCTAGTTGGAAAATAATTATCTCCGAATCAGAGAAAAAGCGCTCGCCGAACCACGGCATCGCAATAAGACACAAATTTCAGATTCAATAAACCCCCCTGAGACCGTTCAGTTTAACCTCTCGGTTTGCCGATCAAACACCCACCGACGCCGCCTTCATTGCACTGCCCAAGAGGATGAAATAAAGAAAAAGTTGCAACCATCCTCGGCGTCGTCGTCGTCGTCGTCGTCGCCCTTAACTCTGCAGGGAAAATTTGTTTGTCTTAGTCATGGTTTTCGTTCGTTCGTTCGTTCGCTCTTTCTGCTTCTTAATGTCAATCCTCCACGGCAGCGAGTAAATCGACACTGATTATCCACATCCGCCCACCACCAGATCCGAGATCCCGAGACTGGGCGGTCAGCTTTTCTTCACTGTAACATTCATCGGGTGCTACTGATGCTGATGATGACGGCGATGATGGAACAAGAAGGTCTCGAGAGGCAGCACTTTGCAGATCGGTCGCCATCATTTCGATCCCATTGCACTACTGACTGGAGTGTCGGTTGCCAGTATCGGATAGGATACAGATAAAAATTATTCATAATTGACGTGATTTCGATAAAATAAATATGATATTCGTGCATCAATGTTTTGATAAAGATGTCAAAACTATGATGCAAGATGTCCATGCTTGACGCTTGAAACTTAGAATGAACTCGTCCTGCGATTTTCACTTCCGATTCAAGCGTACCTTCAGTATCTTCAGAATTTGCATAATGAACCGAAGACGCTGTAGGAAAAACTACATCCCATGCCCGGTTTACATTGGTGCTGGTTCATAATGCCGATTTTCTAAAATTGGTATAATCCTATCTAGTTTGTGCCAGAAATTGATCCGCCAATGTGATTCAGCACCGAAAAACTGTTTACATCATGCTAATAACCATGGGTTTCCGAACGACGTGAATCACCAACCACTAGCACTAATTAGCCAACAACTGGCAAAATTGGTCATCAGTATTGATGTAAACTGTTTTTAGCAACTGTTGAATGACCGTTTTTGCCAGCAGCTGGCTTAGTGAACCAGCACAAGTGTCAACCGGGCATTAAGGCAGTGACCATCAAAAGAGAGCACAAAGATGTTACGTGATTTTAAATTTTAATTTAAAAAGTTTCACTCTTGACGCCTGTCCTTCGGGTTCTTTGAGGACGACGACGCTCAAGAAGATTATCGCATTTTTCACTGTAGTGGTTGTCAAGTTTGATTTCTCATAGTAATTGACGCAATTTCTTTCTGGTTTTATTTACAGTGAATCTCGCAAAAATTAGAGCAGAAAACTGCGGCCAAGAGGAACTGGCGACCTGCGCACGGCCCTTTCAGGTGTTACAATCGTCAACGGATTTGTCGATAGCGACCAAAAAGGAGGAACTGGATAAAATATGCCCGTGAGTATTTGTTTTATTGGGGATGTTATTGCCGTCTTTGTCACTATTAAGGGAAATGGCTATCAAGGGATGTGGTTTTAATTATCAGCGACAAAGTAATTAGTGACATTTATGACCATTTGGGTGCGGCTTTCATTTCAAATTTCTAGCAACAGCAACAGTAAATCATTACAGGATCACTTGGTGGGTCTTTCATCGCTAGATTAAGAAATATTTGATCCGAAAAACGATAGCTCATTCTCCAATAAATCAAATTTAAAAAGTAATATCAAATACGAGACATTTAAGTACACTGTACCAAAACATCATCCTCTGTTCGAATGAAACCTCAGACCATTCAAATCGAAACATCTAAATCACTTTTCCGAATGAAAGCTGCAACCGGATGACGGTTGTTTTGTAATCAGATGATGCTCCTTTCGAATACAGGGTGAACATTGATATGAGAAGCAAACCGTTGAAATACGTAATGCTCTCTGTAGAATGATTGTCATCCCAAATTGAAATGCATATATAGTATTGGTTCATCTCCATGGGTGCACGACGTTAGGCATACGGTCGTTAGGCATACGGACGTTAGGCATACGTACGTTAGGCATACGGACGTTAGGCATAATGTACGATAGGCATAATGGACGTTGGGCATAAAGGACGTTAGGCATAATGGACGTTAGGCATAATCTACCGGATGATTGCTGACTTCGGTGACAATAATGAAAGAGCCTTAATTTTGGAACTCATGAACGACGTCTTGGACAGGCAAAGTATTGGGTTACAGATGGTACGTTTGCCACAGTTCCTTGTTTGTTTCGGCAACTCGTCACTGTTCATGGAAGTATCACTCCCTCACATCAGTAGATGGTTCCACTAGTTTTCATTCTGATGACAACAAAATCAGAATCGTTGTATCGAAAAGTATGGCAGGTAATCCTGGAAGCAGCAGGTATGTTTTTTTGTTATTGAATGAAAAACCACAGAATTAACCATTCTTGATTTCATGAGCTGTTCTTTGGCATCATATTTTATTCAACCTTGGCTGTTTTTTGGTTATTGAATGAAAAATCACAGAATTCACCATTCTTTATTTCAAGAGCTGTTCTTTGAGGAAAACTTTTCTTCTTTGACTTTTGCAATATGTGTGTAAGAGTATATTACAACAAATGTGTGATTTTTTTATTTCTAGATGCGATTGATTTCAAGATATAGTTCAAAACTAAGCTGAGTTTTCATTGTAAGATTACTTAACCACTATCGCTACTAATCATGGATCTAAGTAAATATGTAGATACGTCACTTATGATATGATAAATAATGGATTCCAAACTGTGCTTATTAAATAAACTATGTTTGTTTAACTTGTATCATTTTTTATTCAACGCTAAGTCTAATTTAAGCATTGTTTACAGGTTTACAGGTTAAGCAGGTTTCTAGAGTTGCACAGCAGCAAGGTATTTTATGCCTAACGTCCATTATGCCTAACGTATATTATGCCTAACGTCCATTATGCCTAATGACTTTATGCCTAACGTCCATTATGCCTAACGTCCGTATGCCTAACGTCCGTATGCCTAACGTCCGTATGCCTAACGTATTTATGCCTAATGGGGTACACTCTTGGTTCATCGCATATCATCCAAAACGATGATGTAAATAATTCTATCGAACGTTATTTGTTGATCTGAGCTGACAAACGAGGTGGAAACATAGTCACCGTTATCAGAGGTGGTACGAGCATTGGTAAAGCATGGAAACCAAAGGGTGTCTATTTCATTGTGGAGGATGTCTCCTCTACTAACAAACAATGTTTGTATCAATGATGGGATGGCTGTTCGTGGCTATTCAATTTGGAAATTTCAGTCGAATTATTAATCTAATTTAAAGCATTTGCAAATCATCCTATTCTTAAATTATTGTTTTTCAAATAAATATTATTCTTTATTTGGACGACAGTCACATAGATGCTCATCTGCTGATGACGAATTCAACCAGAAGGCAATCATCCGAAATTTGAAAGCATATTGTTAAAAGGCTCGAGCAATGCAATAATCATTCGAAGTATTGCGAATGATTTCGTTGAATGTAGAGTAAGGTGGGGCAACATATAATTCTAAACTCCAAAAATTGGCCTGCCAAAACCAAGTGAACCTATTTTGGTTTCCTGGTCACTGCCGAATTCAAGGGAATGAGAAAACCGACACACTAGCTAGGCTTGGATCATCTCAACAATTTTTTAGGACCAGCACCATTCTGTGGCGTTTCTGCTTGCTCTCTTAGAATGGAGTTCTAGAAATGGAAAAAAAAATTAAAGTGGATACCAATTGGAACAACACTCTCATTGCTAGGTAGTCGAAACGGTTTATTAATCCGAGCATTTCAATGACTAGCAAAATTCTTGAACTTTCAAAGAAAGATCTCAGTATGTACACTGGTTTTATAACAGGACACTGTCCATGTAAATATCACTTGAAGCTAATAAGAAAACTTCATGAGGACATGTGCCGATTATGTGACATTGAAAAAGAAGACTCTGAAGACCTACTATGCTCTTGTACAGCAATCTTCGATAAGAGGCGTATTTTTCTGGATAAGGGGCTGACAGAACCCTCGGATATTTGGAATTCAGTTCCCAGACAAGTAGTGCAATTCATTCGAAATGTAATACCTGACTGGGAAAATACTTTCGGTCAGTCTATGTCGATCTATGTACTGGTCGCAGTGATCAAAATACCCAACACGAATAAAAACAAGGTGGGGCAAAAATTCGACCTTAGATCGTCATAGACGAAATACGCGTATCTGTCAAAAGATAAGCAATTATAACGGAATGAAAAGAAAATAAACCAACACACTCAAAACTCTTCATACGGGAATTCCGTTAAGAAGTTCGACAAATTTAAAGGCTTAAATCAAAAATTAAAATATCTCAAAACTCCATTCATTCGGAATCAAACTAATTCCATACACTTTTTTTTCCTTGATTTGTTTTCCGTCAATCTTGTTTTCCGTGATGAGCACCAATGCTACCGACGCCAGGGAGGCAGCTCCCACACCTGGACCCTATCTATCGACCCATCAACTCTCATCAATACGGGGAACCAACGATTGTTATGCCTCAGAACATCCCGGCGGCGTCGACTGGGATTGAACCCAGGCCTGCTGGGGTGAGAGGCAATCATGCTTACCACTACACCACCGACGCCGCTAATTCCATACACATGATTCCCATTTCAAAGTTTATAACTTCTTCTTACAAAGCTTTGATGAATTTTCAGTTCATTCATAGCTGGACTGATTTTTTTGGAAGAGTGTTCGTAAAAAAGTTCGCAAACTTAATGGCAGTTTTTGAAAAGTTTTGCCACTACACATCCTTAAATGCCCCTAAAGTGCTGCCACCCGTGCAAAATAGTTCAGTGTTTTTACCATGGCTGCTTGAAGCCGACATTAATTTAGCTTCCGCTTTCATCCGTGCCCTCAACTTCCCTTGCTTCAACCAATTGTTGAATATTGCATTGGCCTCTTCTTTATCCTTTATCCGCTCCCACATGGTATAGTCCACTATCCCAGGGGTTAAAACGGTTGATGTTTTTTACTACACTCGCTTCGTTGTCGTGCGCGACAGTCTGTTCGTATTCGTACACTCTCATGCTCTACCATCGTCTCTCGCACACAACACAAGCGGTAGAATAACATTCGAGCAAAATAAAATTATCAAATAACTATCATATGACATGTGTGATTTCGTTCTAATTTCTCAATTTGGTGGAAATTAAACCATTTCCGATCTTAAATGTTATTTCTAGGACATCATTGCTTGCTGTTTTCAGAATTCACACAAGCACAACATCAGCAACTTTTATTGAGCTTGAGCTTGAGCTTGATTGACCGCCCACGGTTGCTACTCTGTTACTGCCAGATCAGCTGTAATTACACAGAGAACCAATAGACGATGCTTGGGACTAGCAATAATCCTCAATGTGTAAAAACTGGTGATCTTAAATTAGGCAATACCAGCGCCGGCCGCGCCCGAACACAGGTCAAGAAAGGAATGGGAAGGATTGTGTTGACATGACACTCGCTTTGATGGAAGCCGAGAACATCTCTGCACTTCCACGAGGAATCACTGGGATGTTGGATAAGAGGGTTGGGTTTGCAGCAGGGTTCGTTTTGGTAAACGATAAGCTGAATTGATGTCCTAACGATCATATAACGCGAAGGAGCTTGGGACTAAACCCACGGTCTTCTGCTCAGTAAGCAAAAACGTTTGCCACTAGGCAGACGAGCACCTTTTTAGTCACCGAGTTGCTGTTATTACCATGTAGTCATATTAACAAATAAAACGATTGACGAATCTTGAATGTGGATGGGCCTAAGATTAGACTAATGATGTTCTGCTCAGTAAGCAAAAACGGTTGCTCTGGCCACCGAGCCCCTCATATCACATAATACCGTTGCTCAAATTTGTGTATCCATTCAAACCCGGAACCAACGACAACAACGAGTTTCACAAAATACACGATACACAAGCGATTTTACCATAGATCTCTTTGATATGTAAGGACCTGGGACCGCGTTTTTCTGCTCAGTAAGCAGGCCACTGTAACCGACGATCTTTCAAATCCGAAAACTAAAAACTACGAAAAAGTACTTAGGCCTTCATTAAGTTCCACTTTCACGCGACGTTCAATGACAGGGTCCTATCCAGGATTACATCTGAAAAATCCAAATCTGGCCAACGCCCACCTAAACCTGTTCTAATCCACCTGAAATGACTAACGAATGGAAGACTTTGACTACCCAGCCATGCAATAGTCTCATTCCGTGCCTTATGGCAACTTGATGATTCTATTGCGCTCATCTTTTGGCACCACCCAGGGGAGACTTGGTCCTGTACCCAATGCTTAACTTATCTCCATTCCACTCAGCTACTCGCAATTTCTTGTGATATAGTGGGCGGAATATTATTATATGAGACAATTCAATGCAGACGTCTTTCCAAATTTGGCAGATCGACAGGTAATCGGTGAGTTACCACGATAGTTGCTATTCAACAACTCGACAACGTCCCATCGTCAACGCCTGCTATGAGAATTTACCATTGCAGACGCCAACGAAATGACGTAATCGAGCTATCGATCAACTACCCTGGTTATCGCCTGGTACCTTAAAGCATGATGCTAGGAGGCGAACCGGAAGAATCGATGAGCTACCTCTCCCCCCACAACATCAGCAACTCGTATTATGAGAAAAACTAAAATACATTCTTGACGGTCTTCGGCCTGGATATGACATTTTAGTTTGGTACTTTTATATGATACACAGCAAAAAAATAATTTTAATATTACATCAAAGTGGATGCACATCAATCGTTTCGAAGATATGGTGTTATATTACTAGCCAAAAATGACAAAATTGTCATTAATACAGTGCATGAGCTGACATTACGCTTCTTTTACTGCATTTGTTTATAGTTGTGGCTATACAAATTACATGAGATTTTCGACATGATTGAAGTGCATCCTCTTGGATGTAATATTAAAATTTATTTTTTGCTGTGTAGCTAGTTTTGCAAGCGTCGGAGGCAAAGGCAGTCGATTATCACAGAAAATGTGTCGACTACCGTGACCGCTTACCAGACTGCACTATCCCAAATTTGCAGTAGTAATGCGCCTAATGTTTGCACTTGAAAACAAGCGGCTGCTGTTTCCGATCCTTCCGTTTGGGGCAGGAATTCATCCGATGCCCCTCCGTCTTACAAAAGAAACACACATGTTTTTTTCCTTGATAGAATATGTTCCCCTTTCGATTAAGGAAATGCATCGAGTTGGGAATCTCCTTTTTAGCATTCACATGTAGACCCCGCACACCTATGTGCATATCGAGGCCCAAGGCAGCTGGAAATTTTTCCCGAACAACACGCTTCACATCACCGTATTTCCCTAGCACCAATGCTAGATCGCTATCCGGGACTTCTGGTGGGAGGTCGTACACTTCTCACGTATTGAAGCAGGCAACATGCGATGCGTGTCTCGGCTGACTTCTTCTTCTCCTTCTTCTTCTTCTTCTTCTTCTTCTTCTGCGAATTCTCTCAACTTTATCCAGCTTTCGCTGAGAGCTTTCGATGCCTGCACCATTTTGGCATTAATAATTTTGTGTGGCAAGTTCAATCGTACTCTATTGCCCAGGGAAGCCGAGAAATTTTCCAACTCGAAAAATTCCTAGACCTGACCGGTAATCGAACCCAGCCACCTCCAGCATGGTCTTGCTTTGCAGCTGCGCCTTTACCGACTGAGCTAAGGAAGGCCTCGCCTGACTTCCCATCGGCATAATTAAAATTAATTAATTAATTGTTCACGGTTGTGTATGTACAATGATGTATCGAATCTTTTGATTTGAACTTGATGAACATAGACAACATAGACAAACACACACATACATGATGGACTAGCCTACGGCTAAAAATCACGGTAATAAAGAAAAAAATAGACAAACAAACATGGAACAAAATGATTTTGTAATCAAGTTTAACCATTATGTATCCACTATTAATGGAATTACTGATAAATGTTTACTCTCCTTACAACAAAGGGTACACAGCAAAAAAAATAAATTTTAATATTACATCCAAGAGGATGCACTTAAATCGTGTCGAAAATCTCATTTAATTTTTATGGCCACAAACAAATGCAGCAAAAGCAGCGTAATGTCAGTTTATACACTGTATTGATGATAATTTTGTCCATTTTAGCAAGTAATATTACACTATATTTTCGACACGATTGAAGTGCATCCACTTTGATGTGATATTAAAATTAACTTTTTGCTGTGAACACCAAATGTCTGGAAAAGTTTGCGTACGGTTTGTTGAGCCGGTAAGTACTGTTCGGTTTTCTTAAATTCCACTTGGTTTTCAGCGCTGCAACGAAGGCTGAACTTCTATATCTCAGTATCAACGTAAATACACTAGCCAGGAGCCGTCCCGAGATGTTCGGTATGATTCTGGCTACCGCGTTGATGGCCTTCGCTGCCTTCTCGTAGGCGTATTCTACGTGGCTATTGAAGCCAAACGGTCCTCGACCATCACTCCCAGGCATTTCAACACGGTAATTTCTGACCCTGCAGCGCTTTAAAGTTACTGATCGATACCACCTCGCTTTTGTTGTGGGCTATCTGCACCTTCGCTACATGCATGAGGTTTCCAATCATGTCGACCCAATCATGTCCAGCGTCTTACCTGTTACCGTAAGACGTCGTCGTCCGCAAAGCCAACGATCTCAACTCGTTTGGGTACCTTCAGCGTTAGACCGCCGTTTTAAATCACGTTGGACCAAGGATGGAGCCTTGTGGAATTCCCACCGTGATCCTAATCGATCTCTGTCCCATATTTGACTCGTTGTTCAGAACCCGGTTCTGGAAGTAGCGTCGGCCTCCCAGCTGGAGCTGTTGAACGCATTCTTGACGTCGATCGTTTATCACGGCGTAATATCGATCTCCTCTCCACTTCTGTTTCGACGCCTTCTCGGCTCTCTCGACAACTGTCTGGATTGCATCCAATTTTGCTCTTACTTTTCGAAATCTGAACTGCCTCTCCGACAATCTTTGCTCACTCTCCGTGCAATTTGTCAGCCTGTTTAGGATGATCCTCTCCAAGAGTTTTCCGAGTGTATCCAGCAGGCACTGCTACGAGTTGCTCGTTGGTGACTTCGTCGTTATCTCCCTTTCCGTATCCGTACTATGTAGGTTGGCAGGTCGTTGGATCGTGCTTCGAGAAAAGTCCTTCCACGATGACTTTCAGGTTCTCAAAGCACATTTCAGCAGGCATGACTTGACATTTGATTTGACGGTGTGCGTCGTTGGCAGCAGCATCTCGACCCAGCTCCAGCTGACAGTTTGACTTGCTCTGCTTTATCTTTCGTTTATGTGCTCGGAACATTCCTCTACGTTCCTCTCTGTCTGCTTCTGTTTTTGCTCTCTGAACACGTCTTCTGGCTCTGAGACAACTAGCGCGGAGGGTGCTAATTGCCTCGTTGCAGCAGTAAGCTGGAGGCCGTCTGTTATTAGCTCCAGTTTCCTCGGCATGGTCGTGTCACATGCTCTCCCTAACGATTCTGTCAACTCGTCTCCTACTTCAGGTCGCAAGTTCTCATCCTCTATACTGCCACAGGATTCCGTTGGCCGATGCCATATCGGATTGCCAGAGGGTCACTATGGGTATATCCTTCACACACTCTCCAATTCATGTTTTCCATCAGCGACGAACTACAGTCCGCATAAAGTGACGTCGATAATGGATTCCCGGCCATCTCTGCGAAAAGTGCTGGTGGTGCCTTTAAAGAAAAGCCTAATTTCCAGCTTTGCCAGAGCTTCCAGCAGAATGTGCCGTTGGTACATCTGTTTCCCCACTCCACTGCCTAAGCATTGAAGTCTCCTCGGATGACTACCGGTATTCGTCCGATCAGCTCTTCGGTAAGTCCAATCAGCGTCTCGTGGAACTGCTCCATCGTCCATCGGGTGCGTAGCAACTGCATATGAATATTACGTTAATTTTGGCGATCACGCCAACGATCTTCTTGAATGGGGTATCTGCCCATTACTTGTATTGCAGCCATCCCAGCTCTATCCGCCACCTAGGGACTCGATTCAACCATAGAGCTAACTCTAAGACTAGAAGGTCCCGAAATTACGTGCTCAACTTTTTGGCTCAGCTCTGGTACTCTCTTCGGTCCCAAGCTAATCGATTCACCCCTCGAAACATAGGAAAAACCAATAACCCCTCATTTTATCTGTCAAACTTTCATAGCGAATCAAAACAAACATTGCGTAGAACTAGAATTTCGACTAGAATGGGGTACGTTAATCGTTTGCTTGGGACCAATAGGCTAGTCAAGTAGTGAGCCAATTTAAAATCGTTAGTTTCGTATTGATTGTTGATACAACTGTGCAGTGTCGCAATAATTGAGGTTTTTTTTAGTTACCTCTGTTATTGTTGCGACAAAACAATTTAGTGGAGCGAAATGCTTGAGAATTCATGCTTGAAAACCAAAAAGTTCAGCAAAATCTTCAGGCTGACAAAATCGGGAAAAAACACTGACAAAATCGGGAAAAAACACTGACAAAATCGGGGGTAGACAAAATCGGGGGTGGACAAAATCGGGAGTAGAAAAAATCGAGAAAGCACTGTATGAAAGTTTGGACGAGACAGATCTATTTGTCTGAAAATCCTCCAGTAAAAATACATCAAATGCTCCTCAAATTGTACGAAAATCTATCCACTCGCAGTAGCATTGACCAAGTTACGGAAAATCGTAGATGGTACGAATTGAAGTCTATTTTTAAGAGGAAGAAGGTATGCAATTATGTAATACGAATCTATCCACTGCTATAAAAAATTTAACAAATCATAACCTGCAACATAACTTTGCCGATCACATCCCACTTTTTACACCATTTAATCCTCTCAACACTTGCACCCTTTTTATGTAGAAACTATTCTCTTTGTCGCTGAAAAGCATCATGACCCAACTTTTTTTTAATGGCCAAACCGATTATAGCTGTCACGTTGAAGCATAAACATAATTCCTTGCCTTCATTATTTGCAAACTCAAAAATGACCCTCACCACCCACAACCACGTCCGCTACACAACAGTCGGTGCACAAAACAGCAGTTAGTTATTGCGGTAACCTTTCCTGTCCTGCCTCAAATCTGTGGCTGTTATGCTACTGTAGTTGGTCGTTAGATGTGAGTACATAAATCTCCCAAACGTGACATCGCCTTTTCTCGGTGACACTTTTTTGCCCTGCTCTCCCACACAGGCTCACTCGGCCGCGTTAGAATAGTTTTTAATGTTTCAATTTATTTCTCAAGATGCTACCCCTTCCGGGTGTGTCCTGTTGGCAAAGTGACTTCTGTACAGTTTTCCCCTTGACCGTAGCCTACATCTGACTATTAACTCTTTTTTCCCCTTGTACTCTTCATCTCCTTGCAGCGATTTGACTAGGGGCCTACATTGCATCCGAAGCTACACCCGTCGGTGCATGACTCTGGAGCAGCGTAATCGCTTCAATAAACTCTATAATGGCACCCATCAATTCGTTCGTGACCTGTGCAAAGAAGGACCCTACCAGAATGAGTTTTTGTCGCATGCACCTTGTCTGCAGCGGGTCAGACCGGACTATGAAGTGTGCGGCCGGACATACCACAATACGGTTTCGGTTATCACACAGCAACAGCAGCAGCAGCAGCAGCAGCAGCATCAACACCAAGGTCGTCACGAAAGACATCACCAGCAGCAACCGAACCATCACACTACGGCCGGACGGGATGCCGAGGAGGACGTTCGGACCGTATGTTGTTCCTTCATTGAATACCTGGACTGTTCGGAAAGTGTTGCCAAAAAGACGTGCGGCTGGGAGACGGCCAAATTCACCAGAGGTTTCCTGGACAAGATGTCTTCAACGCTAATAAAGGTTAGTAGGTGAAGGTCCTAATACTACACGATTCAAATCACGCCAGTCATAATTGGCACATGCTAAGGCAAACATTGTTCAAATGTGATTCACCCGTCAAGAGACAGTGGATACATTTTCCATTGCGCAATAACGGTTGATAAACAGAATACTTACAGCAAATTGCCATCAATCAAAACATCAGTAACACGCGACCATTCTCGTCTTTTCCTCTATTTCAGATGTACTGCGAAGATTACTACAACTCGAACAAATGTCCCTCGTCGCCTTCGTCTGCCACCAGCACCAAACTGAACAACTTCACCAGCTATCTATCACTTCTGGTTCCAACGGCACTGTCCTGCCTGAGCACGTGGTTCTCCGGTTTCAGCCTACTTCGGTTACGATAAAACTACGCCTGCGACATCTAACCCAACTCAAACACTCATCTCAATAGGCGCAATAATCTGGTCACGGCTCTCGTGTAGATACTAAACTCGAACTCCACTCAGCTTACACGCAGATCGCCCCTTTAAGGTGTAATAACAAAATTGTTAACATAGGTTACGTAACGCCAATGCTTGAGAGACGAATTATGATCACAATTGATGAAAACACTTGAAAAATGGAAGCTAATACACAAGTGGCAGTGCAATTAGTATTAATTAATTTATTGACTTGAATTAGGGACCAGGGTTGAGGTGCTCTCTCTGTCTCTCTCTCGCTGTATACTCTACCGTTCATTTATTGGATGATTTAATCAGACGACCACAAAAACTAGATCACAAAATAGACATCACTCATGTCAGCAGTTCATTCGGTCAAGTTAGTTCAGTTTAAACGTGAGATGAGCTACATGAAGATATTTATTAACAAACCGTTCCGTCTTTATTAGTTTTAGGATGCATCAGGTTAGCTAAGGTCAGTTCAAGAATTTAGTAGTTAAGATGAGTTAGATTGCAAAAGCATTGTACATATCAGAATTTAAGTTGCTTAGTATGTAATAGAGAATGACTTTAATATAATTAAAAATGTAGCTATAGGTAGAACCGCTGGAATACAAAATCAATATGAATAACCAAAATAAGTTTGCAAAGTTGCAAGTCAAGAAGATTTCATCTCATTTTCTGTTACGCAACGATACATCAAACAAAAGTTGCAATGAAATCGTGCAATTTTCGAACTTTTGGTGAAACAATAGAACTATAAAACAAACAAAAATCATGAAATAGAAACAGTGTTATAGCGAATTTCAATATGATGTAACATTTTTCCCATAAACTGAAACCAAATATTATCGGATAAGTTATTGCAAATAGATAAGATTAATTTTTGAAGAAATTTAAGAACACGCTGTCTCTTTTCACACACAGATCCGAAAGCTTCCCTCATTTCACAAACAGCAATCTCACAGAAATGTAAACAAACATTTGTTTACGAAACTGTCCAGTCGCATATTGTTGTATACATGAAAGAATTCTTCAAGGAGATTGAAGGACTTTCCCCAAAAAAAAAGGTTTCCCCGAAATACGGTTTTTCGAATGAACTAGTTCCCAGAAAAAGTTACGATTTTCAGTAGGATATCTGTAGTTCGGATTTGTAGGGTGTTTATATCGAAGGCCGACCAAATATATATGTGATTTCAAATAAACCCTCGGCATTTTATTTTGCTGGATCTCAGTGAACAACTTACCAAGATCTCAGCTACCAAATGCCGAGCTGCTCGGTGGTTCCAAAAAAATCTAAGTGTGTATGTTCAAGATAGCATGCAATTAAAGAAAAAATCGTGGATCTTTATGACCACATGAATTTCCCGGTGAATCTAAATATCCGAAAGGGCGTTTTCTGGCCACCCGGTAGAAGAAGCGCATATTTCCTCTTTGTTCATGATTGTATGCAAATAAGAAAAAAAATCGCGGATCTCTAGCTCTACTTTCAGGAATTGACCATTTTCCCTGCGATTTCAGACTATTTTCAGACTATCCGGTAGCATGGTGATGGCATATTTCCTCTTTTCTCATGATTGCTTCCAATTTAGAAAAAAATTCGCGGATCTCTAGGTCGAATCCAAATGTCCGCAGTCACTTATCACGGGTTTTCCCGTTGTCACTGGCGAAGCACAAATACAACCGGTTTCTTATTTCTTTCGATCACAAGTAGATAGTCATACCTTACAAATAGTGGCTCAATCTTAAAATTTGGTAACCAAATAGCCGGGAACGAGTCATGTCAACATGAATCGACACGTATTCACTCGGGACTTTCTCAGGTTTTTCCGTTCTGACTTGCCAACCACAGTCACAGGCCCAATCGGGTTTCTACTTGTTCCAAATGAAAGTAGATAGAAAGTGGAATGGTAGCAGAATCATAACGATTAATTATCGCATTGTCGAGAACCAGCCATACTTACCTTAACAATCAGACTTAGGCCTTTTTGTCCTCTGCTGTCCAAAGAAATCGTCTCCACTATACTCGATCCATGGCCACACTTCGCCAGCCTCGTAGTCTGCGAAGGGTCCGCAGGTCGCCTTCTACTTGGTCGATCCACCTTGCCCGCTGCGCGTCTCTTCTTCTTGTTCCTGTTGGGTCACTTTCGAGAACCATTTTTTCTGGGCCGTCGTGCGGCATTCTTACGACGTGCCCAGCCCACCGTAGTCGCCCAATTTTTGCAATGTGGACGATGGATGGTTCTCCCAGCAGCTAGTGCAATTCGTGGTTCATTCGCCTCCTCCACGTTCCGTCATCCATCTGCATTTCACCGTACATGGCACGCAACACCTTCCGTTCGAAAACACCAAGGGTACGTTGGTCCTTCACATGGTGGTATTCACTGAAACCTGGCTTCATACCGACATTACGAATGCTGAACTCGCAAGCAACTACACAATCTACCGCTGTGACCGGAATTCTCCCACCAGCGCACTGCGACGTGGCGGTGGCGTCCTAATTGCCGTGAAATCCGAGCTGAAGTATGGGCGTTGAGAGCCTCGAACAAATTGCTGATCAAGTCGATTTACAACATCAATCGATCTTCCTGTGCTGCATCTATATTCGACCAAACAGTCAGCCCGACATTTACACCAAACACGCTGAGTCCGTACAACAGCTCCTTGGTATGTCAAACCCTCACGATACAACCATAGTTGAGGGCGATTATAATCTGCCAAATCTAGCTTGGGACTTCGATGAGGACGTCAGAGGATTTCTGCCTCTCAATGCTTCATCAGAACAGGAACTCACTGTAGTGGAGTCCATACTGTTTGCTGGATTGAAGCAAATCAACGATCTGGTGAACACGAAAGGTAAGCTTTTTGACCTGGTTCTCGTCAGTGACTCCGATTGCATCGAGCTGTTTGAACCACCCTCTGCAATTATGAAAGTTGATTGTCAACACAAGTCGTTGGTTCAAAAAGTTGACTCCCGTTCGAGAGATCATCCGCTCTCGTACCCAGCAGCCCGCAGTGAGTATAATTTTGCACAATGTGATTTCGATGTTGTTAACACGAGGATTGCCGCCATGGATTGGGTACAAATACTTGACCAACCCACCATTGATGCCGCCGTCTCTGTATTATACTACAACTATACACCCCTATTCTGTATTTCGTTTCGAACGAAATTCTCATACAAAAAAATATTTTTTCGTATGAGAATTTCGTTCGAAACGAAATACATAATAGGGGTGATAAAGTAATCCAAGATACTGTTCCGGTGAAGACACGAAAATCTTGTTTGAAATTCCAACAACCTTGGTGGAATCCGCAATTGCGTAATCTGCGTAACCATCTGCGTAAAGCTCGAAAACGTTACTTTCTTTCCCGGACCGCAAGTATACGGTGCAGCTAGTAGAAGTAGAGTATAATGGTTTGCAGGAAGTTCGCTTTCGTGAGTACGTCGACAACCTCCAGAGGGTTTTCAAGGAAAATCCATCGTCGTTCTGGTCTTTTAACAACTCTCGGAAAAGGTCAGCTGGTATTCCCGTGGACGTCACCTACGGTAGTAGAACCTCCACCACCGACACCGCTTCTGCTGAACTTTTCGCTGACTTTTTCCGAAGTGTTTTCGAACCCGATCAAACTCCTCCACCGCAGCAATACATTGATCAGCTACCAAGATACGACATTCACCTGCAGCAGCTCATCTTCAGTCAAGACGCTATTATCAAAGCCCTTTGCTCAGTCGATCCATCGAAAGGTCCAGGCCCGGACCGTATTCCACTGTCTTTCGTCAAGATCTGTGCAGCATCGTTGGCCACTCCAGTTATGTCTATTTTCAATCGATCGCTTAAGGATGGCTTTTTTCCGGATGGCTGGAAGCTCGCCTCAATTACACTAATCTTCAAGTCCGGTAACATGCACTAAGTGGACAATTACCGACCTATCTCGATCCTGAACTGATTGGCCAAAGTTCTCGAAAGTCTTCTGCATGAGAAGTTCAACTCATAATCTCAGAGTTTTAGCATGGATTCATGAAAAAGCGCTCGACAGTCTCTAACTTGATGACTTACAACAAAACACTCTTATAGGTAGCATCGAGAAGCGTCAGCAAGTGGACTCCGTTTACATCGACTTCTCTAAGGCTTTTGACAAAGTCCCTCACGACCTAGCCATTATGAAGCTAAACCGCCTTGGTCTTCCACCGTGGATCGTTTGTTGGTTGAAATCATACTTATCATCCAGGAAGGCTTTCGTTAAGGTACATGATTCCAGATCCGAGGTATTCCATAAACCATCGGGGGTAACAAAAGGGAGTCACCTAGGACCTCTCATTTTTGTTCTGTTTATTAACGACGTGTGTGATATGCTAAGTTCCTGTAAGTTGCTATATGCGGATGCTCTTAAGCTGTACCGTGTGATCAAATCGATCGTGGATTGTTGCGCACTACAAGCTGATATAGAGCGATTGTCATCCTGGTGTCAGATGAATGGAATGCAATCCAATGGCCAAATGCAAAGTGATTACCCTTACCCGCTCTCACTCTCCGATAATTTTTGATTACTCTATGAATCAATCGCCGCTGGAAAGGGTTAATGCCATTAAGGATCTTGGGCTCATCTTGGACAGCAAACTACGGCTTAACGAGCACATATCCATGACAGTTGCAAAGGCCAACTCCATGCTAGGATTTTTGCGCCGCAATACTACACAATTCGACGACGTGTACACCCTGAAAGCGCTGTACTGCTCTATGGTCCGCAGTATTCTTGGATATGGAGTAAAAATTTGGGCACCATAGCATGCTGTTCATGTAGTGCGCATCGAGAGAATCCAGAAAAAGTTTATAAAGTTTGCATTACGACGTCTGCCATGAACAAATCCAGATAGCTTACCTCCGTACGAGCATAGATGTGCGCTTATTGGACTGCAAACACTAACAAATCGCCGAGTCTTTCTCCAGAGGATGTTCATAATTGACATGATTCGTAATCATATTTACTGCAGTTGTTTGCTCGGGAACATCAATTTGCACACTCCAGAGCTTGCCGTCTCCGCAACTATTACTTTCTGTGGACTCCGGGACATCGTACTGCTTACGGTTATAACAATCCTCTTGATAGATGTTGCATACTGTTTAATAATGTGTGTGATGTTTTTGATTTTAATATAAGTAGACCAGTTTTTAAGAATAGGATTAGGTCACTTTAAACAGTCTGTATGGCTAAAATGTCAAAGATGGTGGTTAAATAAATAAAAAATAAATTCACGAGCATAGTCCAGGTCTCGTGGCCGTAAAGAACCACCGGTCAGCGTCTTGTAGATAGTTAACTTCGTGCGGCAGCGAATTTTATTCGACCCGAGTCCAAAGCAGGCACGATTCCCTGCCATAATGCGTCTTTGAATTTCTCTGCTGACATCATTTTCGACGGTCACCAGTGAGCCCAAATACACGAACACATCAATCACCTCGATTTCGTCACCGTCAATCTGAACTCGGGGTGGGAGGCTAACATTGTCTTCCCAAGAACCTCTTCCTTACATGTATTTTGTCTTCGATGCGTTGATGACTTCCTGGAGATCGTGCCACTCGTGTCTATCCCAGCTCTTCTGATCACACCTTCTAACGCGATGTTGAACAGCAGACACGAAAGTCCATCACCCTGTCGTAGCCCCTTTCGAGATTCAAATGAACTCGAGAGTGTCTCCGATACTCGAACAACGCACATCACTCGATCCATCGTCGCCTTGACCAATCGCGTCAGTTTATCCGGAAGTCCGTACTCGTGCATAATCTGCCATAGCAGATCTCGATCGATTGTGTTGTATGCAGATTTGAAATCGATGAACAAATGATGTGTGGGCACGTTGTATTCGCGGCATTTCTGCAGAACCTGCCGAATCGCGAAAATTT